TGGTATCCTTACTATTCTGGTAGATGTTTAACAACAATTAAGCATCTGCTGGTCAGTTCCATGAATATCTTTTCAGAATGGAAGGACAGATTGAGAAAATTCTCATAATCTCACACATTAAAACTGACCAGGAAACATAATTTTTTCTCTGAGGCTCAATCAACTCTTTATCTACTTCTCCTACACTCAGTGTAGCCATGTGTTATGGTACATGTTTGTATGAGCATCTCAACATGTCCTCACAATCACAGTACTATGTAACTGAAGCTTACCATGCTTTGGAGAGCAACAAAATTTGGCATTTCAAGTATTGTGGTTTGCATACTGATATCTGGGCTAACAAATATATTTCATTAAAATTAACCATAAAAATAATGGTGAATGACTTAAAAATATAAACAATTCAGGGAAAATTGTTTCTGCAGAAAATCTTTCTCTACTCATGTAAAATTCAACATGCATAGTTCCTTTGTTTCTTCTCCTTTTCATTTTTTCAGAGGATTTCAGATTTTCTTCCTTCTCTAATGACAGGCATTTAATTTGAAATGCAACAAGACCTCTTCAAATCTAAAGTCATAAAACTGAAGATAGCATTTGCCCACCTAGACACATTTTTATAGTAAGAGCTATTTGCCTTCTCACATCTTTAGGTGAGATTGACTTTATACAGTACTCTGAAGAGTATACATACATTTGTCCTGAAAATATTGATTTCAGTGTCCTGAAAATAGTGACTAATCTACAAGACTGTTTTTGTATTTGAAGAAGTTATTCAGAATGCCTTTGTGTGCAGAAGCTGAGTAGAAAGCAATAAATACTACACCTTTATTTAACTTAGAAAGCTGTAAAGTAAAACTAATATAGTGAGTAGATGGGAAAGAAAAGTACAGTGCTCTTTTGCAGACTTTTGACAGCAGTAAATGCTAATAGTAGGGCAGTTAGAAATGGCAGCTCCTTGTGATGTTATTTTGTACGTGGTATCCCAAGTACAAGAAAGAATAAATTCACTGAAGAAAAAAATGGTCTTTTATTTCTGGTGTATTTACCAGTTTAAATCCTGCTGTGCTGCTGTCCGAGTTTCTCTACTCCCCCGGGCAGGGAGGAGGTCGCACCGGCTGAGCTGAAGGCACGGCAGCCGACAGCCGGGGGGGGCACTCCCTAGATGCGCCGGGGCGTCCCGGGAGCGCCTCAGCAAGGGGCAGCAGGGAGCAGCAGGCAGGCGAAGTAGAAGAATGAAGAGAGGGTCCCTCCTCGGGGGTAAAATCCAGAGCCTTTTATTACTCCAGTGCACCAGCCGGCAGGGACCACGAGGCAGGAATACAGCAGCTTATAAAGGGGGTGGAAACATGACACATTGACCAATGAGGGAGAACTGGGGAGTGAACAAACTCGTGAGAAACATGCCGGCTAGCCAGTAGGGAATGTGACAGGGAGGGACCCTTGTTCCCGATCCAATCACCCACCGAAGAAAGGAGAACTTTCTGGAATATGGGAAGGAGACAGTGGGTGATGGACAGAACTTGGGGAGGGATTGACAGAAAGTAACCAGGGAAACAGGGGAGGAGAGAACGAATTGACACTCTCAGAGAGAGAGGTTCCAGGGCAGGGGGAGAGGGGGATCCCAGGACCGAACCATTATAGCTTTAGGGGGTAACAGAACACACCAAATGAATCCTGCACCACAACAAAATCCTTTCCTCTTGCATTATGTTATTGTTGAGTGGCTGTCATTTAGTTTTCATCAACTCTTTAAACTTTCCCAACCAAATAGCTTGCTATTTAAAATTCTAAAACTCAGCTTATAAATCTTGAATGTTTTCAAATTATTCTGGTGGTATAACAAAAACTTAAATGTTTTGGACATTGCAGAGAGAAAAAGATTTGAAATCTGGTGCTTTTTGGAAAATATTTAGTAAATTGAGTCCTTTTTTCTTAGATGTTAAAAGTATCAGATTAATGTTCTTAAACCACATTGTACCTCCTCTTGTGCTCATACAGAGGTAGGACTTGGTTACTTTGACAGGTATATATTTTTAGAAGACATTTCCCAGGCCAAAACTTTTGCCTATTCCTCTCCTTTCTCACAAGAACTGTTAGAATTAATTTTGCTTTTCATTGACTGAACTCAGAACCTTAACAGAGGCTGGAGAAAATCAGAACTTTTAAATTAACTTAGAAAGATCTTGTCCGTGGCTTCTCTGTTAATGCAGACCATCTCCAGATCACACTTAAGTCTTTCTAATCTTATCTGGTGCCTACAGTGTCTTATGGGATGACTGAACTAGTACAGATATCCTCATCTTTGTAAACTATTCTCTTTCTTATACCCAGGAACATGATTCCAGGGCCCATCACTGCTTGGATAGCTATAAATACATAGTTCTGGGACACAATGCAGCAGTGAGAGGCAGATCCTCCTTTAGGGGTTGAACTGTGCAGCTAGCTAGGTGAAGTTCAGAAGACCTTGTTGTGTAAAAACAGTTCCAGTTCATAGCCACGCCATTCACATCCAGTTGGTGTGAGGATGGTTCTTCCTCTCACTATCCTTTTCATGCTTTGCTTTCAAATTCAAATCAAGAGGTCTTGCTCTGTCTCCATGCTCCAAAGCTCAAACCTAATCTGAGTGTTCAGAATCAGCACTCTGGAGAGCTTTGAATGGGCTGGAGATACCTCTAAACAAGACTGGCTACCATTGTACTTAAAGGTCTAAGACTCTTGGAGCTAAAAATCACGTAATTGGAGAAAACTAGTAGAAATATTTCCCCTGCAAAAAGCTGCAAATTCAGTTTTCTGCAGGAATATGCAGTTCTGTCAGAGTTTTGATCAAAATAAGACAGCCTAGGAGAAGATCTGACACATTCACCCACCTCTCTGCTTCTCCCTTCCTGCTCCACCGAGTGCCCCAGCTGTATGCCACAGACTTCTATGGATGCCCTGGCATATTTTCCCCAAATTGCCCATCTGATATATTCCTGTAAGAGTAAGACTTCCAAAGTTTCCTGCTCCTCACTCTCCCTTTAAAATGTCTCTGAGAGTTGGCTAAGCCCACAGTTCCTCTAGCTAGTTGCTCCTTTCTCAACCAGTCGTGCCCCTTCCGTATCCCAGTACAGGCTGGAGAAACACCCAGACCTGACTGTGCTGGATACATCTGCATTTAGGAGAGCCTGAATTCAATTTTGGAGTCTCAGTTCACTTGAAAATATTATCTTAAACAGAATATATTTCCTAATTCAAAATGAGTGGAGAAGTTAAATTATATTATTTTTCCTGACCACTTGCAATTTGGTCTCTGTTGCTAACCTAGAGGGAGGACTAGCTTGGTGATTCATACCAGGAAAATAACTCTTTAAAGTACATTTTGTACTGAAAAGAATTAGGATAACCTTTAATTTATAGTATGAATCACCAAAAGGCATATTTTACAGCTAGTGCATCATACTTCCACTGTGTGGTCTCCTGGATAGGAGGGGTGCCTCGTGCTTGCCTGTGTCAGCAGGTTCATTATCTATGATGGCACATTGTGACTGCTGTGCTTGCCCTGGGATTGACCCCCTCCTCTCATCTGACAGCCACCAAGCTCTGCCACGTGGCAGAAAAAGGCTGTCAGATTTGCTCCAGGCCACAGAAGAGAAGATGCCCTGGTCATCTGCCGCCTTGGGGGTATTTCCATCTGTGTAGTGAGGTGAAATGTCTGCACAGGCAAGGACAGACAGGAGCCACTCCTGGCTGCTGGCAGCCTTCGCCAGAGAGAAGGAAATCCTAGTTCAGATCCACAAGCTGGCACCTAAAAACTGGAGTTCATGGTGCTTTTACTCCCTTGTGGATCTAACCCTGAGGGATCACTGGTCAGCACACCTGTTACAACAGCTGCTCTTGGCTATATCCAGTTTCAGAAGTCCTTGAAAGCCTCTGGAGTGTTTTGAGAAGCAAACGATGACATGGGCTCCTTTGTGGAAGTCCCCTCCAGCTGGCCAGTTATGTCATCACTGTGCATGCCTGCGTGCAGTGTGACTGCACCAGCCCTGGACTTAAAGGACCCCTGTAGGGGGTGACTCATTTTACCAGTCTGGGAAGGGAGGATAATTCTCCCCATATCTGGTCAGCACACTTGTCAGTCTATGAATGTGTATAAATTATGTTTTTTCCCTTCCGTTATATCTTTCCCTGGGATTTTTTTCTCTAACAATCAGAAAGTATCCCTGCTCTGCCTTGCTATTCTTTCCACGTAGGGTTACCACGCATTTAACTACCAGCAACTCTCTTTATTCATGCCCAGATTTATCTGCATCAGCACTGCTGAATTGTTATACTAATTACTGAAGAGCTCTTTTTTGTTGATTTTAAAATCTTGTAAATGGAGATAAAATATGATTGATAGATAGATAGATAGAGAAAAGCCTTAATGAAAAAAATATTGTAGCTTCATTAGGTAATCTGCTGCAATGCATCCTAGCCTCCCCTACAGCACAATGCAAGAGCTGAGCCAGCATTCTGATTTATAAGGAAATAATCCACTTGCCCAGTTCTACTTGCTTGATGCATTCACTCTTGTACTCACTAGTCCTGTAGTTTTATCCTACTTGCCTGGCAGCTGCACCATGTTATTCAAAGCATTACATGACACTTGTGGGGAAAAAACAAGTTAGAATCATGAGCTGTCCATCTTTCAGGCTAAAAGGATTTCATTCATTACAGGATGCAAACAAGAGGTGAGAATTCAACAATTTATTGACTCACCTATTACTTATTGGTTGCTACAATTTTGAGGAATTTTTTAATACATTTTGGGAAGTTTTTTATTTGCTTTTAGAGAGACTAAACAATCAAACTTTAACATTTCCAAAGTCCTACAATCCCCATGCAGCACAGTGGCAGGATGACCACTGTGTCTCCTGACACCAAGTAAGACAAATGCTGCAGTTATCAAAACCACAGCAAATCAATTGGCTGTTTATGTGTTCCTGTTCCCTCTTCGCAGTAGCCAGACTAGCATCCAGCTGAGATAACTGCTTTCTACACGCCGTTGGGAAGTCATTCTTCAGTTATAGTAAGTTAGAAAAGGCCAAAAATGTAAATTAAATAGTCCTTTTATTGCCAGCATTCCAAACAAAGTGAAGTTTAACAGCACTGAGACACACCCGCTGTTATCTGCAATTTCAGCGGTAAGACTAGCAGTTCTGGAACAGAGAAATAATTTACCTCAGTCTTCCATGAGTCCTGTATTCTCTTCCAGAAAAGTGTTTTAGCTAAACCATTAGGGTTCCAGATAAAACCTTGAGGTGGTTTCCCCTGTGGACAGTGTATAATTGTCCTTGCAAAACATCTGCATACTTCCTTCAAAATATTTTGGCGATGTTTGTTTGTAACAATAACTGCAGTAGGAGTGAACAAACTCGAGGTCATGCAGAAGTCCAAAAGAGCTGAAAAGGCAGAAACATAGTGCATGAATAAACAGCTAGAATATGATCAACATCTAAGTTTGACACAATTTAAGGACTGCTAATTCAGATGGTATTTATAGGGGTTCTACCTGCATGAATATGCATAGAAAAATTTTTAATTACTAGGTTTGCTCTTCATAAAAATTCATCAAGTCTGTCACACTGTGGTACAATTTTGTTCTGTTCAGTTTCTGTTCAGTCAGTGAGATATCAAAGGCTTATTTGTGAACAAGATAGGAAACTCAAGCAGCCAGGGTCTAAGCCAATAGTTCTACCATGGATTCGAATAAACTTAAGGTAAAACATTCATCTGTGTCTACTTGAGAGCACATCCCTTGAATCCACTTCGGCAGCAAGAATTAAGTGAAATAGGTGCCTGCCGTGCCAGGGGGCTGATAAAGGCTGAGCTGAAGAGCAGAGCCAGACGTGAAGTTGATTCCCAGCAATTAAAATGGCACTTAGCATCCTGTGAATAGGTACTCCCACAAAAAAAATTCACTGACACCAATTCATGCACCCTTACAAAGGTGTCTAGTATTGTCACCAAAACTGTGGCAAAAGTAGAAACTCTCCAACACTAACAATTTTTTTAGTGTTAGAGAATCAAGGCATTACTTTATTTTGGCCAGGATGTTATTCTGGCCAGGATGTGCAATAGAAATAATTTCATCCATGCATGCTCGGACTGTGCAGTGAAAATCATTCCATCACACATAATTCTTTACCAGACCTTTCATATGTTTATATAGACAAAACCCAAAGAAATTCCTGTTGATTGATCTTAAATTACACAATACTTAGTATTTGTTCTCCTACTGGTTATTGAGCCCTTCGCCTTCGATGCTAATTTGGTCCTCATTCTTTGGTTCTCTTATCCATCTTTTCCCAGACCAGGTGTCTCCAGGGGGTGGTGTTCAGGAATAATGCCCATTAATGGTCGTTATCTCCCGTGTGTCACCTGGCTACTCCCAGTCTCTGTAGATGTTAAACTCATCAGACCTCGCCCAGTGAAGAGTCTTAGGAAGAACTTTCTTAGGAAGAAGACTTAGAAGAAGAACTTCTTAGAAGAAGAACTTTTTAGGAAGAATTCCTTTTCCCCCGGGGCGAAGGCAAAAACCCTGACAAAAATTACAAAGAAAATTTGAAAAGTGTTATCATTTCCAACAGTACCTTGAGTAACCCATCAGGCTATCCTGCCTGTCTCTAGCACACTGTATTTATGTCTGTCAGCCTACTGCACACAGGACATTGCAAATAGTAATAAGTGATGAAGGGTGGGCAGCAGAACTAAGCCTAAAAGGTCATAAAGCTTCTATGGGACACCAGGGTGTCCCTTTGACAGAGACATCAAATTGAGAAATTGCACGATTAAGGCTGCCTGATCAACTTTAATTCAGTTTTTCTTATATGTATATCCATGTGTATGTGGAGATCTACTCTTAAATTATGTTCCTTTTTTCTAGTCCCATTCCTCCAACATGCTCCCAATTCATCTCTTAACTGCTGAGTCCTGCTGTTTCCTTTATCCCCACACTCTTCCTTCTTCCTTACGCCCAGCATCTCACTCAGCTATGGTAGGCATCTGCAGTACCTGCATTTACACAGGGAGCATAATTTTCTGGCAGTTTAGTGGATTTCCAGCATGTTGCTGCAGATGGCATGGGGGAGGAATAGGGGTTTGTTCATTAAAGTAGTCTCTACTGAGCAGACAAAATTTATTCTGAAACCTTCCAGCTTGGCAAGATAGCTGAAAGCAGATTCTTGGTACAAAAGTTCCCTGCTACCCCTTAGCTAGTCCTTGCCTCATACAGGAAACCTAATGCTGATGAGAATGTTTCCAGCATGGGCTGAAGAACCTGCCTTCCTGAAGACATGCCTCTTTTTGGAAGCATCTGAATAGAAATAAAAATAAAACAGCCCATGGCACTTTTGAACATAAATATGACAAGCCGTGACTATTCTTAAGTGAATACCAGAAATTTGATCTTTCTGGAAGTGTCACACAAAATTCAATTTTAATTGTGCTACCAGACAAGTCTCTAAGAATGCAAGTAAATATTTTACATTGAGAGCCACAAAACATTGTCTAATATACTAATATGTCCCATTTAAATACATTTCCTATTATGCAATTCAAATATTAAAATTCCTTTTTGTTAAGGTCTGAAATGGGTACACAGTAGTGTATGGGGAACAAAGCATGCAAGTACTGAAATATCTGCATTATGGCAATGTATATGTAGCTAGAGGGGCTGATCGTGAAGGAAATGGCAGTCTAGCTGACTGACACCTTCCATTCAATTCTCTGAGAGCAAGAGAGACAGTAGTACAAAAATTGATATAAGATAAAGGTTCTAGACCTATATACATCAAGGACCTCTTTTGGAACTGGGCTAACACAATAGGAGCACACCTGTGTGTACTTAAAAGTAAAGTTTGGTCCTTTGTATGTAACATGAATGATATTTTTTCTTGCCAGGTATTGAACTGCTTTAAATAATGAAGAGTGTTTTATGTAACATTTGCTGGGAAACAGCCAGTATTTTGTTCTCTCTCCAAACCCTCAGTCCCATGTCCCTGCCCAGGAACAAATGTTTGTGTCTCAAGTCAACAATCCAGGCATATTTTTCTGCTAACTTTTGTCTTTATCTGAGAAAATGGTTGCACCTTTGCTACTGGATCCCCTGTCACACTTGGCCTTTTTTTGTCCAATTAAACACCTACATGCTCCATAGGTATGTTCATGCTCTCAGGGTCTTAGTTCTTGTTACTCTCCTCCCACAAATATAGTTTGACTCTACTGTTTTAACCATGTCAGGTCTCTTTTCTGCATCACCTCCTTTTGCTCAGTCCCAGCAACTTACCAGTGTTCACTGCTAATGTCCCAGGTAGCTTATGTTACCTTACCTATAGCTGTTCACTCATTATGAGGACATCAGCTTTTATCTTCAGCCAACTCAACTTTCAGCTTCTTAGATGACAGCAATGATGCAATTACGTAGATCCCATACAACTGCAGTGCAAAATTATTCAAAAGATAAAATAAAAGACATAAGAAAGACAAAGAAAAATAGAAGTTTCGTTCCTTATGCCCCTGCAACAGAATCTCTATTCTCAACTATAGATTTTTAATTAATATTGTTGCTCTTTAACTACCTCTTAATTGTTTAACAACCTGTTAAACTATCTGTACTTTCCAGTGCCAGTAAGAGCTTTGATGAACATTTCTGCGAGATCCTCTTGATGGCTTTCCAGCAACTATACTATTATAATAGACTGGAGCAATATATGGGATCCCTTGTTCCAGTCTGAGCAAAACGTACACCTTAAAAATACAACAATATTGACTGTCTTGCTGCAATTAATAAATTCAATGTACTAGCATTTAGGAGTATTATAAAACAAGTGCTTCTTTCAACACTTTTAAAATTGAATTTAGTTAAAGATCTCTGCCAGTCTTTAAAAGGCACTGTCCTGTTTCACATAGCCCCGACACCTGATTTTAAAGAATCATTTCAAGCTCTTTCTAAACTTGAATATTTTTTTCTTTGAAGACTGGTATGAATCATGCTTCTCCATTGTTATGGTCCTCCTTCTATGGGATGTGCTTACTGAAATGCTGAGTCAGATTTTCAGCAGCAGAATATATATATTGCTTTACTAACTTTCAAGGTGCCAGGCTAACCTATGCAAGGGGCCCAGGTTTCAATTTTATCCCATCATAGGAAAAACATACATCAGCGTTTCTTTCCTTGGTACTTTTGGGCCACAGTAGTGACAGCTTGTGATTTTCAACCTCGTTTGATTTCTACAAGATATTCCTGTCACATAAATATTAATTGTCTGTGCAAACAGGAAGATACCTGTTTATGCTGAGTACATACTATCACTGAAATACTTCCTAGGCCTGGGTTTTTCCCTCTGAACCAGATGCAATTCCTTTTCAGTGATTTAATTGCTTCCTTTCCATTTAATTACTTTGAAGATTAACTGCAGGCAAGTGTATTCCAATAATAGGCTCATCTACAAAGAACAGGAAGCTTTCCCTGTGGTCGAGGGAATTCACCACTTCCGACTGCAGCTCAGCTATTTAGCTATCAGGTTTCCCTTTGCCCCTGGGCTTTATGTGTCACCTTGTCTGTTCGAGCATAAGGAAATGTCATGGGATGAACTGTTTATTCTTGAATTCGCTTACAGAGCTCCCGGCAGGAAATAGAAAACTCCTTCTTCTCTTGGGAGCAACAGATGCAAATATCTCAGGTCCGAGTATTAAATTATTAATTATATATCATTAATGTTAATGATATCTAGAAGGCTTTCCATCAATAAGTTTCTGGGGTGAAAAAAAGAGTTAAAACTAGACAGCTTTTTATTTATGCATAATATTATCTGGGTAAAGATCCTTTCTTGGACCTAACATGCATATTGCAAAGTGATTGATTCAATCTGCCTTTCATTGGAGCTACTTCATTTCAAAGCTGGGACTGAGATTGTTGCTTTCTGTATGTAAAAATGACACATTGTGGAAATTTGTTTTCCTCTTTTTATGTGAAGACTGAGTATTATTTTGAAGCAATTTGTGGTTTTGGGATTAAGAGATTTACAATAATTTTTTTTTTTTCTTCAGATTACCTTCACCTTCAGATTTTCTTCACCTAAATCCATCAGAAAATTTTATGCTGAACTAGAGTGCTGTGACTGTGAGCTCCCTACTCCTGACTGACCCCTTGCAAGAACCAAATGCAACACACACATAGCACAGCACCAAAACCTCTTGCACATCTCTTAATTAGAAGGGAAAAAAGACCAGGGAACAATCACAAACAGAATGGCAGAAATTTGCATGTAAAAGAGGCACTCTAACCCCTTCCCTATTCTCTAGCACAATGCTCCCTACTATGTGTACCAAGAGAGGTAAACTGAAAGTGTTCTCTAGCTAATGCTAAAGCAAGTTATGCTACATTGGATTAGGTAAATTTTTTTCTGACAATGCTTGGGATTCTTAGTCAAGAGTGCTTTTCATCCAAAAGTAGTTGTACAAAAAATATTTTTCTACCTCTCAAATTCTAAGAACATTTCTGTTTATAAATGAAAGGTTTATGACTCACTAAATAATCTACATCAAGGGAACATTTTTGCTTTATTTTCTTTTTCTTTTTTTTTAATTGAAACTCAACCAAAGTAATTTGGTCTCCAATTTATTCTCATTAGTAGAAAACTACCCATCTTAAATTCAGTAAAACTGCAAATGAGTTTTCAGATGCTTCCATTTAATCAAATTTTGGAGGTGATTTTTGTTGTCTCTTTTAATCATAGATTTTGTTTCTGCATTTCCTTTTCCACTGCTTGTGGTAGGTGAAAAGAGACATCTCTTTGTCCTACCGTGCTGCCCATTTATTAAAATGTACAACAGTACAGTCACGGAAAATACAGATATGTATGGGAAATAGGAAGGGTTGCATCTAGGTTCTTTTTGTGTGCTACAGCTGGCAGATTAAACAGTTTTATGTAAGAAGGTGGAGAGGTGGCAGGGGAAAAACTTGGCCTGCTTTCCCCAAAAAAAGATTTCTTTTGCAATTAATCCGAAGGAGTGGGATGTTCATCTGCCAGTCTCACCCAAAACTTCTCAAGCTCTGGCTTGGGAAAGGAAGGTTTACCCATAAATGTGACTTTGAACAGCCAGTGCACACAGCTCCTGAGGCTGCTCTCAGGGCTAAATCCATTCTGTAGATCCAAAATGAAAATGTTTGAGGTATTCATCCAAGCAGAGGAAGCACCTGCCAGACCATTCCACAAGCACATGGATTTGGGCTAGCCAGAGCAGATAATACCTCCTGGAGACCCTCCAAGCTAAACCAATGCCAGGCAGGAAATACAGGAAGAAACAAAGAGAGTATTATTATGGGAAATAGAGGAAAAGAGAGAGAACTGAGGTTAATTCATTTAGGAACAGAAGTGAGGTGTTGAGTGTATTTTGACAAGGTGGTATAGACAGTTTGAGGGTAATCAAGTTTATTGTAGTGCTGGGAAGTTCGCAGTCTGATAATAATCCTGGGAAGTCCATAGCGCATTTTGACATATACTTGACTTGTACACCTTCTCCTGTGAGTTTTGAGACAGTAAAAATGCAAAAGGCCTGACTGAGGAAGAGTTTAGGTAAGGACCTGCTGAGGGAAGTGCTGCAGCATGAGTTTGCCCTGTGTTAGACACATGGGACCTAAATGAGGAAAGATTTTCTGGATATCTCAGTTTTGGAGAAGACTCAATCAGGTAGCATGCCCGGTGGGGCTCTTGAGAACCTGCCTCCACACCCAAGTGAAAGATGTGGGAAAGGTTCCACCGCAACCTTAGTATGAATTTGGTTTGAAAGATGACCAAGAACAAGACAGAAGTTCAGGATTTGGTTAGTCCTTGACCTCATAGGACTAGGTTGTTTAGGGAGAGCTACACTGCAGACAGAGAGGAGAGTGGGATTATAATGCCTCTAAATGTTTCTAAAGCCATTGGAGTCACTTGTGCTCTTTCCAGTCTAATGGAGGTAAAACCTCTGCCAATTCTTAGCCAGCAGCTTACAGTTACATATAGCTATAAAAACTAGTCTTCATACACATATTTTTTTACTCCTGTTTTACTCCAAGTGTATTCCTGTTCTTTGGCTAACATATTTGGATACTACACAAATAATTAGAATAAATGTAAAAAAACAATAGTTCACACATAGTACTAACTTAGACGAATCAAGAACTAGCAGTGAAGAGCAGTAGCTGCTACCAGTTCTATCTCATTTATAGCAAAGGAGAGTTTCTGAATGCAATTGTAATAACATGTAAGTATCCAGTCTTACTGAAATGGTGTGCTAATGTCCAATACTGACTCATTAGATAAGTAAAATTCAGATTTACAGTAATGTACAAGAGACAAAATATTCCTTGTTTTATCTACTATGCTGTGTCCTTCCAGCAGAACCAAAAACACAAACTAATTTAATTCATCACAATGCTCTAGAGATTCACATTGGCAATGTTATTTCTGAAAAAATTATGACTTTTCATTAAAGACTTCCAGAGACAGAGGATCCAGTCTTCCCAATCTAGCAAGTGTTCCCTAGAACAGTGTGCCTAGTTAAGTTTATAATTAGAAAACATTTCTAGTAACTTTCCTCTTTTGTGTGTCAATTTAACTCTTTCTTCTTTTCCCATTCTTTGCAGATGCAGAGAAAAAGTATTTTTTCCTTTTGTACCAACAGGAACGGCTTAATATTGTTAAAATTTCTTGCCTAAATGTCCTTCTCTGTCTTTCCTAGGCTTGATATTACCCACTTGTCCAATCTTACTTCTTTGTGGTTTCTACAACTTCTGATCTTGCATGCATCTTGTGAGATATATTTCTGGTTTTTACACCATGAGCTGAATATTCATCTCTAAAAGAACCTGACATTGTTGATTCAGACCCAATATGTGATCCACTGAAGTCTTAAGATCTTTATGAAGACCTTACTTTCTGATATTTACTATCATAATGAATTTGTAGAACTGATGTTTTCTTTACTATCTTGCCCTTTCTCTTAACCTTGCCCCCATTCCTTTTCCACCATGAGTTACATACTATGTTTCCAGTCAATGTCTGCAGACTTTTGTTTTTACTGCTATCCTCCAGCACATTTGGGGTCCTTCCTAGCATTGTGTCAGATACAAAACTAATGAGCATTTTTACTATTCCACCATCTGTTTTGCTAATGAAAACCTTGAACAGAAGCAGATCTAAGGCAGACCCCCCCACAGAGCTTCTCTATGGTGTTGTTTTGTGCCCACAGAATAAAGGCTATGTTTTTCTTACTTCAGACATGAGAATATCAACAGAGACTGAGTCAAAAACTTTGCTCAAGTAAAGGTACATGTGTTCCTCTGCTCCTCATCTGTCCACAGGACCTATTACCCCATCATTGAAAGAGTGAATTGTTTTGCTCTGATTTATTCTTGGCAAATCTATGTTGGCTTCTGGTTCTCTCTCTGTTGTTTTCTAGGTTCTGAAAACTGCTCCAGACTTATTATGTGAATTCAAATTAAACTGATTGATCTTATTCAGTCATCTTTTCCTTTTATTTGTACTCTTCAGATGAATAGGCACTAATCTTTTTCTACTTAATAAAAATCACAGTAGATGGGCTTTAATGTCTTCACAGGCAGAGAAATATGCACTTAACACCAAAACTAGGTATCTATCACACTAGTATTTAAATTGTGGTAAAGTAAAAGCATTTGATTTTCTTTGGTTAAGGCGGATGTACAATATCATTATTTCATCTCCTTTACACCTTGAAAATGCTAATAGGAATAAAACCTTTAATGATATTTTGAAAGCTTTTGAGATCATTCATTTATGACCATTCTAGAGTAGAAATTTTGATTTTGGCCTTGGACTTGGATAAGTGTCTCAATGTGTCTCAGTTCTGTGTCTTCATCAGGGATATTGTACAGGAATGTTTTACAGGTGTAAAGAGTCCAAGATTTTGGAGATGCACAATGAAAACTTTAAACTCCAGATTTTCAGCTTTATCTTTACAACAGGAACAGAACATGAGATCCACACAGTCTAAGTTTGGCAATAGAAGAGTTAGTTGCCTGGACTACAGTAACTATGCAGGCTCTTCTTCTGGGCAATGGAAACAAGCTGACAACTCCTTCCTAAAAGTGGTACAAAGCAGATGAGATCTCTTTTCCACTTTCTCTCATTGGCACTAACACGCGTAGTGCAGATAGATTTTGCCAGCTGCTTTAGGGAGACGTTGAAGAAAGCAAATGATGGATCCCACTGCTCCTTAGTGGAATTGCTGCTGCTGTTATCTCAAGTGTGTGAACCCTCAAGTTACGCTGACGTCCCTGATGGACCAGCCTAGGATTCTGTAAACAGGCCGGTAGAATAAGTAATTTTCTTGCTCTTCATGGTAGCTTCACATGTCAGAGTTCAGGCATACTAATAAGTGAACTTCTGTTGCTCTATGTTAGTTCAGTATATAAGTAAAGAAATTGCATTATGGAGACTTTATTGGAATGGGTGAAATATGTGTCTTATTTCTTCTTTAATGAAGAAGATGGTGTACTCCACAAAAAAAGAACTTTAAAAAGGTGCTTACCAATATTGGTCATACAGACAGAATTTGTTCAGATCAGAAGGGAGCCCAGCATGTCTCTAGACCAATCTCCTTCTCAAAGAAATTGGGGTATACAATTAGTTGAAACCCTGAAGATTTAAAAGAGAAAGACACAAAGCAATGGGACAAATTCTTAATATTTCTGGAGAGAAGTCAATATATAGAAAATGGGACCCAAAAAAAGCTTTCTCTCTGGTCAGAGAGTTCTGTACCTGTTATTTTAGGAACATTAATAAAAATTAGTAAAAAAAAAAAAGAAAAATCCACAATATATGCATACAAAAATTAATTTGGAATGATTTTCAGATTTGATAAACAGTTAGATACATACATGCTTCTTCAAAAAGAACTTTGTTTGTTGGTCTGAATTTTAATGCAACTAACTGTTTCAGAATTTTCTTTCCTTCAGATATAAATAACTGAAAACAAGGCACGAATTTAATTTGGGGTTCCCTAAAATATTTCAGGCAAATGCAAAATAAAAAATAAAAATTAGTTATACGTGTTCGATTTTTTTTTTTTTTTTTTTTTTTCCACTAAGAATATTGCATTGCTTGTTCTGGCCTGAATTTTTAATCCCTTTATCTTTTGTGGTTCAAGCATGAACCAAAACTGCAGTGATTATTCAATTCTAACTAGTGTCATGAGCCAGTCAGAAAAAGAATCTTGGCCAAGATCAGCAATGAGAGGTGTGTAAATTAGGGTCCCAATCAAAGTGGTGTCGGCTCCTCATGATATTTCAGACTTCCATGAACTCACTGACTCTTTTCCTTTCCTTATTGGATCCATGACTTTTTAGAAGATTAGTCAATCAACCAAAATTAATGATAAAGCAACTTTCTTCAGCAGAACCACCTTTTTTCTTGACACATAGTGTTGTCTGTTCACACAGAATTGCAACACTAAGTAAAATGAAAATCAAGCACTTTTTTTCCAGAAATCAATGCGCTTTTTTTGCCAGAATTTTGCATTCTGACATTTAATACACCCGTGTATTAAATGGGTCCATTGAAACTATTTTGGTGACATCTGCATCATCAACTCACTTTTCAGGTCTGTGTTGTGCAAGGTACAGTATGCTGTTTCTAAACAAGTCTCTTTTCAAATTGCAGATGTAAATATATATGTGTATATGTATGTGTGTATATATATATATATATATATACACTTGACATTTAAGCTACATTGCTTTGAACTAAACCATCTGACAGACCTTAATGCTAACAGCTTTAGCACAGCACCGCTTACCTGATTCATATCCAGTAAAGTGGCATGTGTTAGTGGCACAATGCATCTTCTGCCTTATCAGGTCAAACAGCTACTAAGAAAAAAGAACTTCAGTAGGACAAATTCAGTTTTCACTGATATGAATGTAAATTTTACATCACCGAGTGAGAATTATAGGATCTCTGCATTAAGTTGTTATTACTAATGCTACAGGAGATCACGTCGTGATAGCACTGTGTGTAGCCTCTGGAGGAAAATAAAACTGCTAATGCAATTGTCATCATAGTAAATTGTAAACTGCAAAATCTTTCTCTCTTTCATATTATCTGCAGAAAATTAGGTTGGAGAAAGTCATTATTTTTTTTGCTTGCAAAACAACATGGAGATAGAAGTCATGATTACTCTGGGTAAACAGAAATCATATACTAGATTAATCCCATCATTTTCTGTGGATCTATTTTTCTGGGTTTGTATAACCTGATATGCTAGACAGATTTTGGACCACAAAAGAACATGTATAATTGCCTTTTGTCAAGTCCTTTGGGTCGGAAAAAATTTGGTATTAATCTTTCGAATATCTAACTGCAATTTTGTCATTTTCAATACCTGAAAAGAATGGAAATAGATAAAATTTTGTTAGGGAAACAAAATATCTTCTTTTTTTAAAGGATTTTTTTGTCTTTTTGTATTTGGTTCAGAATGAATGGAAAAGGACTCCCCATGCTCAAGTAAGAGATGTGCCTCTTCCAAGCACCTAAGAGAGACACCACGTTCTCCATATTTCATGTGCTGATAACACTCTTCCAACATTGTTTCAACCACTAGACTTCATCCAGGATGATGCTGCAGGTGACTAATTTTATAAATAGCAATAAATTTAGTGACTCTATGATTGTCATATGTCTAGTGACATATGACAATATGATTATCATCAATTGGGCCATCTTGCCTTGAAATGAAACAGATTGTGCTGTGGTCCACACAGTTTGAAGGTGGCCTATTGTGTCATCCAAGTATTTGATTTCCAGAGCAGCATTAAAAAATATTGTATAAAAACCAAACCAGTAGAAAAATGTCTCAGCTGAAGTATATTCTCTCTGCAACCAGAAAAAGAGGGCAGAAGTCTTCTAAGGTATGTGTGAATTATTTAAAAATCTGCAAGTTCTACAGCATTTTCTCGTTAGTTATTCAATCATTAATAAAATTCATAAGTCTCTGCCAGCATCCAATAGGGGACTCTAACTGTATTGAGCAGTCAGAAGCTTGATAATAAAGCAGTCCTACCAAAAGCTAGACGCAGAAGTCCACCTTGAGGTAGGAAATCCATTAATTTGAAGTCCTAATTACTTCCCATTTTTGTAAAATGTTACTGCTCATTGTAGATGGTGAAGAGAAAATGACTTGGAAATTAATTTTTCCCACAGCTCCAGGGATGACCCAATATGATTTCAGATGACTACATATTTGATTCATGGAAAGGAAGGAATCAGCCACAGAGGGCAGATTTTCCAAGATGGGGCAGTACATCAGGATGCCATGGCAGAAGGGAGGGACTATGATTCACTGAGATGTCTGCCCTTCCCAATCTGTTGTTTCACGTGAATGAGAAGCTTAAAAAACTCTTAAGGGGGCCTTTTTAAAAGCAAGATTTGTGGTGGGTGAAGCTTTCAGAAAAGCAAAAACATTAAGGAAAACTTTATAGAAAAGAAATCAAACCAAATAATGACAAAAAGATGGGCTCCGAATTCTAATTATTTTTTTCTTATTATTTTTTCCCAATTCTTATTCCTTGCCTTGTTATCACAAATCAGCACAGAAGTTAGGTTTATTGTGATAGCACAAACAGGCAGACTATCAACACAAATGTGGAAATAAGGGGAAAATGAGATATCTCGACCCAGTCTGTCCATCTCTACTATACCTCTTACTTATGTAAATCTCCTAAATCCTTTATTTTATTAAGGTATTTTAGCATTGCTATGTATATAGAAAATTTATTTTAGCCTTAAAAGCCTATATAACAAATATCTTTATATTTTTTAAGGACTCTACTACCTAATGATCAATCTTAGATATTTTGCAGGGATCTGAAACATTAATCTTGAAGTCATACGAACTTCAGCTCATCTTTGGAAGAGAATGAGAAATAAAAAGGAGAAGAAAACCACAGACCTGGTAAAGAGAATCTGTTCATATTCTGGGATAATTCCTGTTGCTGTCTCTGTAGCATTCAAGTTTATCTGCAGAAAGAAGACAGTAGTTCGTGACTTTAGACCTTCACTGGAGAAATATTCATAGGTATCATTTTACCCTGAGTGAATGGGGTAGCAGATGACTCTTAAATTCCCCAGGAAATTTCCTTGAATGAACTTAAAGGAGAAGAGGGAAGAAGTGAATAACCAGGTATATGCTCTAGAGGTAAAAGCATATTTTCTTTGCCAGCATAGCATGTGGATGGATCACCATGTCCTAGCATAAAACACAAGTTGGATCTCAGGAACATTTAAAAAGTATTTAGTGAGGGGAGGGGTTGGGGAAATCTTCATGTGCCAGAGAGGGAAAAGTTCATAGACTTGCATTATCTCTGCTTTAGTCTACCTATCCCTATTGCAGTGTTGCAAACATAGATTTAAATGCTGTTGCAATTTAATATTTTTTACTTTTCTTCTTAGGAAATTTTCCTTCAATAAGATGTGGGCTTTCTTCTAAATGGGTACTAGGAAATCTAGGATATAAAATGACATGACTATGCTGACAGGCACAATTAGTCACAGTGCATTTGTCAGATCTAAATATATCAATGTTATTTTATTTCATTGCTGATTTTTCCTAAAAGTTTCAGATTATCAAGTCAATTGTGCAGACATGCTAGAGTATGAGACTAGGTGACACAAATTTCTGAAACTTTGATAAATATAGATGAAGCAGAGAGGGATTAATGCCAAATCTAAGCAGATGTGTTAGGAATCAAAGTAGATTGCTGAGGAATGGCACACTAGATGGAGTTTCACTGAGTGTGCAAGGGCACTGTGATGTTTGTGGTACACATAAAGCAGAAGAAACAGCTCCAACACTAGATGGTCTTGTTACTTTTCATTTAGTTCCTGAAAACCTGTCAGTGGGAAAACAAACTGAAATTGTGCCACAGTGTCTTCTTCTCTAACGCAGATATGTTAAAGTTCCCTAAGGACCAAAAATGAGTGTAACTTCTGCAACAGTTGGCAGGTCTGACACGACAGCAAATGACATGTTGTTCTCATGAGACTCCAGTTGACAGTATACAAAAGTGTCATAAAGGTTTTGTTTTACTATAATTTCTGAATGTGATAAAGGAGAACAATATTTAATATTCAGTGAGTTTTGATGTATTGCCTTCATTCTGATAATCATATTCTTTTTAGTAGAAACAAACCAAAAAAACACAACTGCAGTCCAGGGCTAATGGATACATGACCTGAAGAAAGACCAGGATTGTAACAGCATTGTAAACCAGGAGTATAGTTGCCCTTTCAAACAGATGGAGAGGGTGGCATGGGTCTCCAGTCTTGTTTCTAAGCAGTTCGCTCCAACATAAGCTTGTCCAACATCAACACAGAGCAGCATTGTTTATCTTGGGAAGATACAGCACTCAGTGTAATGTATGGAGAAGAAGAGGACAATCTTCATGGTCATTTAAGAGATCATCACTGAATAAAGTTTCAGTGAATATATAAAATTCCTACACTGCCTTGCATGCCCCAGCAGGACTGGCTAGCCCTTGTTTTGCAGCGCATTCTCCAGAGACAATAGGAGACTTTGGCACCTGCAAGTTCCTGAGGGTCTAAAATGCCTGTGAAATTTTGTCTCATAAGCAAGAAAAACAGTAGATACCTGTAAATGACAATCAGCATGAGATTTTAGAAGTATCTCATTGCAAATCAACATGTCCAGATATAGCAAAAAGAAAATCACGATCTTTTGCAGTTACATCCCACAGAGGTATAAATACATATTGGTATGTATGCGCAATATGCATTGCATATAAATGCAATTCATATACATGCAAAAAGAAGTTCATTCAATCTAGATATTCATACATGAGTCTTCTTTTCAAAGGAAACTGGAGACCCAAATTGTATCTGAATTGTGTGGGCCTTCAATGCAGGAAACAGGCACCTTACCAACCCAGGAGAACCTACAATTTCCAATTAAGAGAGGAGAAGCACAAGTCCCATATAGAGCTGTTGTAGCACAATTCCCTTCTGCAGGCAGCCAAGAAAGTCTGGTGCCAAGGTCTCATCCTGATGCTGTCATTTCTTTTCTGCTACTTTTGAGGCATTAGCTGGAGAACAATTCCTGTTCCACATTAAGTGGAGAGACTGCAATTCTGCCCATCCTTCACACGGAGTTCACAAAATTATAAAGGCATATAGGACTCTATGTTCTTGTCTAGGTATTAAAAAGACTCAATCCACAAAGCAACTTCATTTTGCCTATCTACAGTGCTTACATAAAAAAAAAAAAAAAAAAGAGTTTCTAAAGTGCATATCAGAATACAGTTTTACGGTGAATTTATGTTAGAACAAGAAAGATCAAGAGAAGGTACTTGCCTTTGCAGTGGCAAATACTTTGGATGCCTCTTAATTTTCAAGAAAAAGATCTTTCTAGGATCATTGAAGCTTTTGGGGTCATTGCAGAGTAAGAAACTGAATGCAGAATTTGTGAGCTAGATGAGGAATATAATCAGTGGTCCTTCTCCCTCCACTGTCTGTTTTTAGATGAGCACAACTAGCTTTCCAAGCCTGCCCTTGATATGGCTAAAAGTTTGCACCTGAGCACACAAGGCAGTGTGAGCCTCCATCTAATATTCCCGCATATCATAATGATTTTGTTTCTCTTTCTTTTAATAAATGGGCAGTAGATGAAGATAAGGTAATTCTCTGGTGATTATAGGTTTCTAAATTTAGAGCACACGGCTTTGGTTACCCTCAAGGTGTCAGCACAGATATGTAACAAAGACCTTCAGCAGTCCATGAATTTGTTGTAGAAGTTTATTTTTTTAATCTTCTTAATGTAAAGTTTTGACAGCAAAGCACCAACAGTGTCATTCCCCAAAGCAGAACTACCAAAAGGAGGAAAATTTATTGAGCTTCTCTCAGGATGTCTCTAATAATGCAAAACTTTCAGCCAAGAAATGGGGAAATTTGCCTTCTACACAATGACACAAAAGTAATGTCTGGGATCCAACACTGGTATAGTTGAACTTCCAAATGTTATTTAATATAGTAAAATGAGACTCTGGAAAGTGTGAACTTCAATTATTTTGACTAATTTTTAAAAATTCAACACATATTGATGGCCTTTTGCCATAGAATCAAGGTGCGCACATTTACTCTGAGAATCCAATTTACATGAAACTTGGAGTCACAATGGTACTTTGGGAGGGTCTTATATAATTTTTATGAGGACATATACTGCTCCATATAGACAAATCATAGTGCTGTAAGAGGGCTTCAGTTGTAAAAATCCCTGCCACTTAAAGCAAACAGGTTACAGAAGTTGTTGAAGAGAAGCTCTACTCGAAAAGATTGGTGCTGTCACACCATTTATTTCTTTGTTAGTCTGAACAGATCATGACAATCTACATAGAATAAATGCACTATCCTTTCTGGGATACTTTTTGCAATACACATTACCCCTTTTCTTGGAATTACTGATGTTCACTGCCTGCATTGAGTCAAGCTTCTAAACAAACAAAGACTTTTAAAAACAAATTCTGCATTGTTCATAAGAAAAATTCGATCTCTATTTCATTAGTCACATTGTTAGCTCCATCTTTATTTTAGCCTAGACCTTTAAATTTGCAGTGTTCAAGTCAAAGAAGTGGAGGTCAAGGAAGCATACTGAGGAAAATGAATGGGCTGAGAGAGAAAGGAAAGCGCTATTCCTGGAGAAGAGATAATTTGCAGTAGCAGAGGTAATATTTCTTTCTCTTTTTTTTTGAAAAGTTTATTGCTGTTGTGTCTTAGGTAGGTTAAATTCTGGAAAGCCTCTTTTTGCCATTAGCTGTTCCCAAAGTGTAGGAATGTTTTTTTCATTCATGCGAAATTCAGTAGGAGAGAGTGCAAATTGTCTACCTTGTTAAGGACTTAACAATAGTTTTCCATGGTTTAACAGGAATTGGTTTTCAGATGAAGGAGAAGGGGAGTTTGACTTCAGCTTGAAATACAGAACTGCACTATAAAGGTGAGAGGTCTGGAATGTTTGTTCATGAAGTGCAAAACATAAAACCTATTCCCCCAAGAAACCCTCTCTGGGGGACTTCAACATCTGGAATCCCTAGAGTGTGCATGTATATGGAGCACACTGCCCACTGATTTAGAAAATGAGGCCAGCCACCTTTTGCTACATGCTTTCCAAGAAATCAGTCTCTCCTGGTACATCCTGGTATCACACCAGCAGGTGAGATAAGCTAAGACACATCCAACAAGTATTCCTTTCTTAAACTTGCTTTCTGCTTTTACCAGGCAGAATTACAGTATCTTGAGCTCCAGGATCAAGGTGCTTGCCTCATCCAGTTCTTCTCACTGTAGAGAACACCTACCTGACCATACTCTTTTCCAGAGGGATAGGTAACGAACTATTTTTAAATATAGCTTTTTTCAAACTGTCCTTTTATAGCTTTAAATAACCCATGCCCAAAAAATCATATGAAATGGGCATTGAAAAAGAAAACAAAAGGTAGTTTTGTGCAAATCAGGGGAGTAAGTGTAATAACCTTCGAGCACTTTGTGTTAGAAAAGTGAACCAAATAATAAAATGTTAAATAGAAAGCATTCTGGACTATACTTGTGTGTCCTGTCTTCAGTGGTAATGTCTGCCTCAATAATTCATAGAAAATATCCAAACTATTTTGTTTTGTTTAAGGGACACTATCTGGTATATAGGTCAGCCTCTCCAGTGGCTCTTTTTCTATGACTTTTCAGGAGATTGATAAGAGGTTTTATCCTTTCACTTTATACCTAAGAGCATCATGCTCTACAGATTCATATTCTGAAAGATGCAGTGATTCACAAATAAGTGGAAAAAAATGAGAATAAAAAAAAATTGCTCTTTGGGATTCAAATACAAAAGGAAGAGCAAAAGCTGGCTTGTCTTTGTTTTTGCAACAAACTGACTACCATAATAAAAAATAAAAGAAATAGTGTCTTAGCAGCAAACTGACTACCACAATAAAAAAATAATAGAGATAGTATTGGGATGTCAGGAGGATAAAGAGACTTTTATAG